TGCCCTTCCTTTAAGTAAAAAGCATAGATGTTTTGGCATGTTGGAATTTGAAGTTTGGAATTTTTGGATAAGGCAGTGTATGGTCCGGGACATAGCAACCTTGGCAGGTGGAAATGTTCAGAATTTTCATAAAAGGAGCAGCCTCTGGTCCCAGAAGCTTGATCAAAATTTCCAGAGACTAGTTTGAGAATGCACTAAACAACAACAACAAAAGGCACTGTACTTCTTCCTAGCATCTAAAGACATTAATTCAACAATTCTGCCATTTTTTGAAAATAAGCAGAAATCTGTGTGTAAAATTCTGAGTGAAAACAATGGTAATATATGATAGTTGATTGTCTACTGAAAAACAAAGGAATTTCACATAAAGGCAGGGGTATTGTTTAAAATAAGAATTTCCTGGGCTGGGATGTAGCTCAGTGGCAAAGCATCTGCCTCGCATTTTCAAAGCCCTGGGTTCAACTCCCATTTCAAAAACAAAAAAAAAAAAAAAAAGAATTTCCTAAGAAACACTGTTAGATTATATGTCTAATCTGGTGGTACATGCCAGTAATCCCAGCTCCTTGGGAGGCTGAGACAGGAAGATGGAAAATTCCAGGTCAGCCTTGAGCCTTAGCGATTTAGCAAGACCCTGTCTTAAAATAAAAAGTAGGATGTTGGGGTTATGGCTCAATGGTAGAGCACTCACCTAGCATGTGTGAGGCACATGGTTCGATCCTCAGCGCCAATAAAATATAAACATAATTTTTTAAAAAGTAAAAAATAGGAAGGGCTGGGCATGTGGCTCAGTGGTACAGCAACCTTGGTTCACTCCCCAATACCAGACATTAAAAAATTAAATAAAAAAAATAATTTTTATAAGACTGAAAAGGACCTTGAAGTTTCCAGGGTTTTTTCTTCTTTTTTTTTCCAACATAAATATCCTGACATCCTGTCCTCTATTTCCACCCAATGTTACAAAATATATTTCACTAGACTCTAAAACTATGCTGTCCAATTCAGTATCCACTAGCCAAATGTGGGCATTTAAATTAAAGTGAAAGAAAAAGCAATTTATTTCTTTACAATTTCATAGCCACCTGTGGTTAGTGGCTTCTGTATTTAATAGCATAAAACACTCATCATCACAGGAAGTCCTACTATTCCAGTTTCCAGAAGATTCAAAATATCCAACTTTTAAAACATTAAATCTTATGCAAAAAATGTTTAATAAATATTTTTAGACTGAAACTGTTTAACTTTCCCATAATTTTAAAATACAGACAGTTCAATTTAATACTTAGTTGGTAAAAGAAGCCAGCCAATTAAGATAAGCAAAGTGAAGAATTGAACATAACTTTTATAGCTTTTAGAAAAATTCACATTATATGATTCTTATAGGAACTGTGATTGAACATGTATAAAAATTCTGAACACATGCTAAACACATATGTATTATCATACACATAATTTATATAATATATAATTTACATATGTAATAATATATATACTTTTAATATAATAATATATATATATATATATATATATACATATATATAATTTGTGTGTGTGTGTGTGGTGCTGGGGATTGAAACCAGGGCATTTTAGACTCTACCACTAAACTGTATGCACAAACACACAAACATATTTTTGTTTGTTTTTTGGTACCAGGAATTGAACCCATGGGTTAACCACTGAGCCACATTCAGCCCTTTTAGTTTTTAGACAGGGCCTTGCTGTGTTGCTGAGGCTGGCTTTGAAATTGCAATCATCCTGTCTCAGCCTTCTGAGCTGCTGGGATTACAGGCATATGTATACATTTTTAATAGGTATTTTTATACACATATATACATATACATACATGAGTATCCTTAATATGCACACATATACATATGCATGTACTTTTTTAAATAGTGAAAAGCCTACAGTTGGGAAATCTTGAGGATGACCTATTTCTGAAAGATGAACTTGCTCCCTTCTCCTCATGATGCATTTCATACCTCTACCCTACCACTGTATCACTCAGCAGCCTATCATTGTCCAACCACATACATCTTAGGCAGCATCAGTATAGGAAACATACATACATTCAATCCACCATTCCCCATGGTAAATGCAAACACACACACACACACACACACACACACACACACAGAGCACTCACTGGTCAAATGAGAGTAAAAAAAATGTTGATATTACCTTTATCAAATAATAGACTGGGATATTGCTCATGAGTTAATTCTCTGAATTTAGAAAAGTCACATAAACTTTGCTCATCTACGCATAGTAAAGAAACAACTGAACAAAGCAGGGTTACTTTGAAATTACTAAATTTAGCCATGTGAGGTTGCACATGCCTGTAATCCCAGTGACTTGGAAAGACAGAAGGATCAAAAATTCAAGGCCAGCCTCAGCAACTTAGTGAGATCCTATCTCAAAATGAAAAATAAAAAGGGCTACAGATGTAGCTTGGTAGTAGAGTGCCTCTGGGTTCTATCCCCCATACTGCAAAGAAAGGAAAAAACAAATTCTTAAAATATATGTGCTCCATTGAATTATTAAATCACAAATTTGTTTTATGGCAGGTAATGAATGTTAACAACTTAGTAAAACTATATTATCAATTGCCCAGAATTACTCTGCTACTTTTCAATGATTTTTTTTGGATGTTTTTTTAAATCGTACTTTCTATATTCTCACAAAATCTTGTAATAAAATTTCCAATGTCTATTTTATTATTTTGCTGGTGGCTTGAATTACACTCAAACTGAACTTCTTTTTGATTGCTATATAACTTTAAAATTTCAGCATCCTTAAGTTTTTGTGCTTTATTATTACATATGACTACCCTATTTTAAATACTATTACATATTCATTAAAATTGTGTCCACCTGGTAGTATAACTCAGTGGTAGGGTCCATGCTTAGAATGTAGTCTTGGTTTCCATCCTTAGCATTGCCCTTACCTCCCAACAAAAAAGTTGCATTCCAAGTTAAGTTCTTATATAATTTATCCTCTCATGTAAATATCCAAAAATGTTCACAATTAATGTTGTACTGATCGTAGCTGATGGAGGAATACTGTCCTTTTAAAGATCCCAGAGAATGTGAATTTTGTTTAACCCCAAATTCTGATTTTTTTTTTTGTGTGTGTGTGTGTGGTGCTGGGGATCCAACTCAGGGCCTGGTGCAAGCAAGGCAAGTATTCTACCCTTAGGCCACATCCCCAGCCCCTTTGCCCAAATTCTCATAACCAAGAGAAGTCTTTGATAGTACTGAATATACTGGCTGTCATTATACTAAATTAAAACTTTACTGAATAAAGAACACTCTCCAGAACACAAGATCTGATGGACCATATCAATGCAATAAAGCTAAACATGATAGTAGTTTAACATGGAATGTCAAACACATTAGTATTTTCATTGTACAAAACTGTTTGTGTAGCTGATGTGCAAGAAGAATAGTATGATGATATTCAGCATTTTCACCAATCATCTGTGATGAGTTTAAAAAGGCATTTGAAGAAACTGGTAGATGTCTTCAGCATATAGTTCAAATAAATTAGTTACATGTGCACTACTGAACCTCTTTCAACCTCTCTTGCATTGCAAACAAAATCTTAGTGCAAACATCAAAGTTGCTGGTCACTCCAAAAGACTTTCAACCTCATAAGAGAATACAAGTTCTGAATTAATGTGTATTAAATAAGACAATAATCAAGAATACCAGTTACTGCAAAATTCGTTTAGGCATACTTAATAGTCCACTCTAAGAATTTCTTCTGATTCTCTCACATTAATGACTAAAGCCTGTTTACAGTACTATTCTATCATTCAACCATTAGTTGAAAAAGGAAATCATTCGTTTCAGTAATAGCATTACTGCTACATTCTAAAAAAAGAGAAAGGGGAAAAAAATCATAATTAACAAAACTAGAATCCATAATAGAAGACATGGGGAAAAACATTTTAGGAAAAAAATGTGCTTTATTTGCACAGCAGGAATTATATAATGTAAACACCATATTGGCCCACACCACAAAATCCATGAGAAAGGTTCAAATTTGAACACTGTGTGTGCATTATTTTCAAATCTGTGTTTGTGAGTTTATGCTGAATCTGCTTGTACCAATACATGAGAAATTAAACACACTTTTCCACACACAAGTGATTGTTAAATATTGAGCATGGCTTGCTTCCCTGACTCTAAATCAAAGAAAATGCTAAGTGACATCCCAACTGTTTTAAAAATGTTTACAGAAACCATTAAAGGAATGTGAATAGTAGTTGAGGAATGAAGAAAAGTGATGGCAATGATACGATGAAAGTGGATGCAAAAAAAAAAAATATTCCTGGAACCAGCTGAGATGCAAATTCATGGCAAATGCATGGAACACCTTTTTCTGTGGGCCTTGTCTGAACTTTCAGTTGTTACCAAGAATTAAAAAAAAAAAAAGTAGTAGCACAAGTCCTTTGACATCTGGAGGATTGAAAGTTTACTTTCAAAGTGCAAATTTTAACAATGGAATGTTTTAGCAGAGACATAAGAACAATCTTCTGTCTTTTTCTTGTTGCAAAGAAATACAATGTTCAGGAAGTATTTATCCTGGCCAAAGCAATTTCAGTTTCTTGGTACAACAAAAAATTTAAAAAATATTTAGCCACAATGATCACCCACTCTTTCACGTACACAGAACCATTCTTAGGGGTGTATGTTGGGGAGAAAAAGCCCTTACCTATGTATCACCTAATGCAACTCTGCTTTAGAAATTAAGTTCTTTGAATTCACTACGTTAAATATCCACATGTACCTCCCTTATCCCCTCTCTCTCTACCCACCAATCCCAGACACCCCCTGATGAACCTACATATTCTAAAGTCTTTGTTGTTTTCTAAGCCTCATGACTAAGGCTGTTGAGTACCACCTCCAACTGGAGCAAAATTAACACCTAGGGTGCCCTTTCTATAGCACTTTTTTCTTCTCCACAATCGAGTGAAATTTTGATGCTCAAGCCTGTATCTAGACCTTCAAGCCACTAGGCCAAGGTCGGCTGCTAACTTGGCCGCTGGCTCTGCTTGAAGGTTCCTGGTCCACTCTGGTTGGTGGCTGTGGGTCATGTCCAGCAATGATTTCTTTAAAATTCGAGTTGTCATTGGGGAAATAAAAAGTCTGGTTGTGGGAGTTAAAGATGGTGCTTCCTGCCTGCCCCATTGGGTTTTGTTCTGTGCTATCATTAGCCTTGTTTTGTCCACTTGCTTGCTTGTTACAAATGGGGTATGAAAAATTGTTTCTGTCACCAGCAACTGCCTTTTCCACTGGAGGAGATGTAGGTGACTGGGGAGGAGTTGGTGAGCAGCATTTATTCAACTGGGAATATGTTGAGGGCCTGTCGAAGTAGAAACAGAATAGTTCAATGATATTTAAGGCAAGAGACACCAAGGACACCACCAGCATGAAGATAATGAAGATGGTTTTCTCTGTGGGGCGAGAGAGGAAGCAGTCCACTTGATGTGGGCAGGGATCTCTTCTGCAAGTGTAGACAGCACTCAAGCTGAATCCATAGATGTACCACTGGATCAGTAAAAAGGCCACCTCAAAGACACACTTGAAGAAGATACTGATGATGTAGGTGATCTTCAGATTTCCTTCCCTTTTCAATTGATCATTCTCCTTAATGACACACTTGACCTCTATTTCAATATCCTTCTTCTGCATTTCTACCTTGTACTCATCAGTTTCGTCAACTTGCTTGTTCGGTTTCTCTTCTTTGTGCATCACATAGATCACATGAGCCAGGTACAAAAGTGGGGGTGTGGACACAAATATGATCTGCAGGACCCAGAAGCGCACATGAGAGATTGGGAAAGACTTGTCGTAGCAGACGTTTTGACAACCAGGTTGTTGGGTGTTACAACTAAAGGCAGACTGCTCATCATTCCAAACTGACTCAATTGCTGTCTTCAGTATCAGGATTCGAAAAATGAAGAGAACAGACAACCACACCTTCCCTCCAGAATTGGAGTGGCCTTGGACCTTTTTAAGGAGTTTGCTTAAGAAACTCCAGTCAGTCATGATGCCTGGACACCTCCTGAAAAAAACCAAGAGGCAACTCAATGAGTACAAATTACCAGCTTAAGAGATGGTGTCTTTTTTTTTCAGCTGACAGCTAAAATATTACAAATTGTTTCCTTTCTAGCCTCCATCAAAAACAAAACAAAAACAAAAGCCAAGTGTAAGCTCTTCCAATCACATTTCCACTCCCAGAGTCTCATACTTATTTATTTATTTATTTTGAGATAAAGTTTGATCCGAGAAGCAACAGATTCTATGTACAGAGGCTGAACTGCAATCTTAACTTGCAGAAGATGTATTACTTGCTCAACCACCAAACTGTCAAGTGACCTGAGAAGCTGTCTGTGCTAAGTGCCTCTGCTTATTTGATTGATAAATAAGGACAGTTGTTGCCTCATAGGCTTGTGTCTGAATGCATGCCTAAGCAAAATGCTGATGTGTTTTTCAAAATATAGGTATCTAAGAACTCAGGCAAGAACACCCAGGAACACACACACACACACACACACAGACACACACACATGCACAACCTAATCCCCAAACTTTGATGCTAGGATGAATCATTTTATTCCTAATTTTACTCTGCAATGTCTCTTGATGGTACAATAAGAGTAATTAGTGCATAGTCTGTATCATGGTTATTTATACTTTTCTCTCTCCTTATGCAGTAACATCTATTTCAAGTCTGTCTTTTACAAAAAAAAAAAATGTTATGCTGAAATACACCATTTGGACAGTATCTCATTATAAACAGGAACCTACTTTCAAAAAAAAAAAACTAAATGTGCATGACATTTCTAGGTAAAAGTTCAATTTGGCCAGGCATTGTGGTATCGTGGTACATGCCTATAATTCCAGTGACTTGGGAGGCTGAGGCAGAAGGATCTCAAACTTGAAGCCAGCCTCAGTAACTAAGCAAAGTTCTAAAACGGGTTGGGATGTGAGATAGAGATAAAGTAACTTTGGGTTCAACCCTGAATACCAGAAAAAAAATCAATCTGTCAGTTTGTCTCCATACCTTATAGACTGTGAAGTGAAAAAAGAGGAAGCTGAATGGCTGTAAGATAAGCCACTTGTACAGCCAGAAGACTTATCATCCTTAAGTCAAAGCCCTTTAATACATTGCAGTGGCATTTAAATTATATAAATATCACACCTGAAATATCAGCTACTCAGGAGGCTGAGCTGGGAGGACCTCCAATTTGAAACCAGCCTGGTCAGCATAGTAAGAACCCATTTCAAAAAACAAACAAAAAAGATATAAACATAGTAGACAGTAAGACTGCACTAAAGCCAGAAAAGTTTCCATGCTTTGATATGGCCAATCTAACAAGTGCTGAAACATGAGAAAATATGACATGTGTCAGGCTACCACAGAGAAGATTGGTTAATTTTCAGCAGAGTAGTGATTGGAGGGTTTAGAAGTGAATAAAGTAGACAAATATTATTTAATAATGAAAAACAAGCAAAACAAACACTTTCCAAGCATTCAGTAATAATGAATTGACTAGTGCAACTAAAGTAGAATTATGTAGGCTTCTTACAAATGTGTTCACTATCCGAATATAAAGGGGTTTCTCATCTGGTTTTGAACTTGAAGCCATATTCTCCTGTAAGTAAGAAGTAAATGAAATACAGGGGTGTTTTCCCCTCACCATCCAATATTACATTTCTTTCTAATTCTTGTATGTCATAGCTATGGAGATCATGAAAAAAATGAAATGGAAATCTGAAAATCTGACCCAGGGTTTCCTGGATGAAACAAAGAGGAGATGGTTGATCCATAAAGCCAAAGTGTATACCAGCTAGTAGTAGATGGGTATCTGATAATATGACAGCCCAGGGATTGGTACATAAGTGAGGAAATATAAAGTGCAAGGTGGGTGGGCAGGTTACAGAAATAATGCTTTCCCAATGATCATAAAAGAGGGAGCTTTCCTTCTACTTTTAGGAAGGGCCATTTTGTATTGTGATGTGGCAAGTCAGAGAGTGAAATTCATGTACAAAGAGTAGTCAGACAAGAACAAAGGCTTGTCAGGTCAACAAAGGGTTAAATAGCCAAGGGAAGGCTTGAAGTGAGAGGAGTAATTTAATCTTGATGGTCAGATTATGGTGAGAGAATGTAAAAGAAAAAGCCTACAATTTAGCAGAAAATACTAGACTGGGAGTGAAGAAGTACAGGCCACGAGGGTCAAACAAACACAACAGAATTTTTGGAGCCATATCAATAGACAGTTTCTATGTGATGATGTGTAAATTGGCTCTAATTCTGTTTGTAAAGAATTACAATATTTTGCCAGTGTCATCTGCTTTTGTTCAGATATTCTAATTGTTGGGGGGAAAATAACAAAAACAATTAAGTGTAAAATGATAAGCTGTTTGCAAACAACACATTCGTAGAACAATAGATCTCAAGGCAAACTAACATTGTTAGAAATACAGCTGGGCACAACAGAAGTTTTCATTTTAGTCAGTGTCTCACCATTATTCAAAATAAAATGATTGTGTAGATGCCTGTGGCAGTTTACTCTTGAGTTTTTCACATTCTATGGAAAATGAAATTTGACTTTCACATAATTCTGAGATTCCACAATGCTACAGTGTGTGAACTGGTTCATGGGGTAGTTGTTCCTTTAAAATACACCAGCAATTTAACTGCAAAATTGTCTTTTCCTTAAACACCAGACATTGGTCATTTGTATTAATGAGTTATAGTTTTTCATTTGAATAAGATACGAATTATTCAATTGGACACATTGTATTCTGTAACATGTAGCACCTGTCATTACCAGTATCATAGAAACCATCTAATATTTCATGTGATGGTTCATCTTGCAACTCCCAAGGAGGTAACAAAAACAGCAAGCTTTTTAATGGTAGCTGTTCACTTGGCCAGGAACCAAGTATTCTTATAACTAATTCCATCCCCTAACCCTGGTTTAATATTTTAATTTTTCCAAGTCTTAGTTGAAACATTAATGTTCTTTCATTATAAGGGAAAAGTATGCTTATGTTTACAGAAGCCCTGGCACTGGTATATTGCAAGAATATTCACCAGGAGTCACACCATTCCTTATTTCATTCAGGAGTCTGGACAGCTGAACATATCCTATATATTCATGCCTATACCTCTGCGTTCCTATGATGCACTTTTATTTGTAGATCATGATCTAAGGGGTTGTGTACAGTTCTCATTAGGTCTTTTTTTGCGAGATGGAAATCTTACTAAAGTTTCCAGGCTACTCTTGAACTTGTGATTCTGCCTCAGCTTCAGGTATAGTTGAGTTGGGTTTACAGGTGCGGCCACCACTCTTAGCTAGTAGTAGCAAATCTTGACAGCAGCTGGATAACACCATGCCTTCTGTATGCCATGTTAAGTCACATTTTCATTTGCTCTTTATGGCCCCCTAGACCAGCTGCTCAAAACTACAGTCACCCAGTGTGACCTCCCTAAGGACCTTGTCCCTTCACAGTGGTTTCTGAACTGCATGACAATCATTTGGCACATAACATTCCTGGCCCTCACCAGTTGGATGAAGCTAGACTTCTGGAGGGTGGGGCCTGGGATTTTAGCTTTTAATTTTTTGTTATTTTTTTGGACAAATGTCCCAAGTGATTCTGAAGTAAGATTATAGAGAAGCAAAGAGTGCTTACCTGCATTTTATTTTATGTTTTTCCTATTCAAAATATTTAAGAGTGAGGGAAATTTTAGAGAAGCAGAACAGACAGTGCATCTAACAATTCAAAGGGGTTGAGCACTAATATTAGTTGTTCTCTGAGCAGTGGGTACTGAAGTTACTGTTGGCACCAGGGCTCCTTGTCATTCCCTGCATCTTCATCTGCCACTCGCTGAAAGCGCAGTGATTCAATCTCTTTAATCCAAAGGAAATTTCTTAAAAATAAAGCAATCCTTAGCAAGAAGAGTGAAGCAGGTGGCATCACTATACCAGAACTTAAACTATACTATAGAGCAATAGTAACAAAAACAGCATGGTATTGGCACCAAAACAGACTGGTAGACCAATGGTACAAAATAGAGGACACAGAGACTAATCCACACAATTACAGTTATCTTATATTAGACAAAGTCACCAAAAACATACATCGGAGAAAAGATAGCTTCTTCTGGGAATGGAACCACCATTTGACCCAGCTATTGCCCTTCTTGGACTTTTCCCTGAAGACCTTAAAAGAGCGTACTATAGGGATACTGCTACATCGATGTTCATAGCAGCACAATTCACAATTGCTAGACTGTGGAACCAACCCAGATGCCCTTCAATAGATGAATGGATAAAAAAAAATGTGGCATTTATACACCATGGAGTATTACGCAGCACTAAAAAATGACAAAATCATAGAATTTGCAGGGAAATGGATGGCACTAGAGCAGATTATGCTTAGTGAAGCTAGCCAATCCCTAAAAACAAATACCAAATGTCTTCATTGATATAATGAGAGCAACTAAGAACAGAGCAGGGAGGAAGAGCAGGAAGAAAAGATTAACATTAAACAGATAGATGAGGTGGGATGGAAAGGGAGAAAAAAGGGAAATTGCATGGTAATGGAGGGAGACCCTCATTGTTATACAAAATTACATATAAGAGGTTGTGAGGGGAATAGGAAAATAAACAAGGAGAGATATGAATTACAGTGGATGGGGTAGAGAGAGAAGATGGGAGGGGAGGGAGGGGGGATGGTAGAGGATAGGAAAGGTAGCAGAATACAACAGTTACTAATAGGGCATTATGTAAAAATGTGGATGTGTAACCGATGTGATTCTGCAATCTGTATTTGGGGTAAAATTGGGAGTTCATAACCAACTTGAATCTAATGTATGAAATATGATATGTCAAGAGCTTTATAATGTTTTTAACAACCAATAAAAAAAATAAAATAAAATAAAATAAAAAAAAAGAAAAGATAGCTTCTTTAACAAATGGTGCAGGGAAAACTGGAAATCCACATGCAACAAAATGAAATTAATCCCACATCTCTCA